AAGCTTTCTAATAGCACCCAAGCGTTCGTAAAAACTCAGCAGTTCAAAAATTAGTTCCGTTGTTACTTTTTTCTGTGAAAATGGCGACTTTTTGACCTTCAAACGATCATAACTTCCTTCAAAGTCATTCATTTGGGAAGCTGAACACGGTGTGACAAACTACAGGATTCAAGCTTTCTAAAAAGTACCCGAACGTTCCTGAAAAATCAGCAGTTCAAAAATTAGTCCCGTTGGACTTTTTTTGGAGGGCATTCTTCAAGCCATTTTCTTGAAAACGCGGGTTTTTTAGGTTTCACTGGCCGTAACCTCCAGGGAAAGCAATTCGTGTTGAACATAGGATGTGTTAGAATGCTTCGAGCATGCGCTTGCACTGACATCCCCTGCCTTGGTGTGCGCCACGCCTCGGGCGCCTTCTAATTCGCTGATTCATTTGAAAGCTCATTTAGAAGGAAGCGTGGTTTATAGATGCTCTAGTATCAATCATCTTGCGTAAACGTAATGTGCTGACTATTATGTCTATGTTGTCTCAGGCAATACTCCAGCTACACTTTAGTTTCATATGTGGTTTCGTGGCTGGAATCCATGTCCACCAAGAATCCCACTGCCGGCCTCCGAGAGAGTACGACCTCCCCCTACAAGCTCAACCGAATACGACCCCCTCGTTGGTACTTGTCGCAAAAAAGTAGCGGTTCCATAGAGCTGTCTGTCCCTCTTCTACCATCTTTCGTCTAATCAAAACCAGGGTTGACCCTGCTCACTAAACCTCTTACCTATTCACCGCCATTTTTTCAACCGCCTAACCTCATTATTAGAAGAGAAATGCTACGAAGTCTAGCCTGATGGTGAACGACCTACGTCGAGTTCTCCGCCTCTAGAACTACAGTACGTTCACTCGCCGGTGAACCTACACGGGAAAAAACGCTAGACGAGTTTTTGGACGAGTTTTTCGCGCCAGTACACGTTGAATTCCAAGCGCACTGTAATTTTCTTTGTGGGTCCAAGGCTCACTGTCCTTTCAATGTCGATCGATGACGCTCTTCCGCTGCCAATGCGTGCTCGTTCATTAATACTACACCATGCAACTGCCTTATTCTCTTTCTGCTGGGGAGTGTTGCTGCCACTTCGAAATCTTCCTCGTCTGCACTACTATATTCATTCGACAGCTGCCAACTAGCGTAGGTTTTTTGTGAGTGATCATTTCTCAGAGCTTCCTAATGAGATTATTCCTTTATTGGTTTCTTACTCCATTGAACCCCATCCTGATTTTTTTTACCATTTCTTCCATTGATACCTTTACCTTTCTTCCATTGATCTCTGTTCTGCTTTCCACCACCTGTTTTCTAACATTTTTTCGTGTGTTCTACCCTTGCATTAGCACTTTGATGGGTTTTTTTTCGCTTTAAATGTTGCCAGTGTAGGGTTAGAATCGGGTAGGACGTCCACGATTCTGACCCCTTTCAACTTTGTGCCGGCTTTAGACTAAGCCACATTCTTTTTTGGAAAAAGGTTCGCGCTTGTCACCGTATTACGTCGCGGTAAGTTTGCTTTCTCCTCTTACAGACACTTTCTTAATGTTCTCTTTTCATGTTACTCAACGTTCATGGTTTAAGGTGTAGGCTCTAATATACCATGATAGATAATATCGATAGTCGTGAGCTCCATTGCGCGGGAATGGCGCCATTTCATTGTTCGCCGCTGTAAAGGGGGTCACCTGAGGCATCGTCGTCTTATTTCCTACTCCGCAATCCTCACGCATTGGTCACAGTGTAGACTCCATTTCTTCATCGCCCCCCCCCTCCCCCAATACTCAGCGTAAACGCTGTTTACGCCAGGCTTACGAGAGGAAGGTCCGTCAACCTTGGTTATGGTCACGGTGTTTTCGATCCATTTGAGGTTGCTGCATACAACTTGTCTGGTCCTCATCTGCACATGTTTAACATAATTAAGGTTGCTCAATCATCTTTCTCAAACAATTGCAATTTATTTCAGTTCAACGTTCATAGAGTATATGTATACCACAAATATATTTACAAAAACATTCAAACGTTCTTACATTTGGAAATTAACGCTTTCATTCGCATTCATGTATCCTTTAAATAGTATCCACATTATTAACTTCGGTCTTCATCAAACACGCAAATGCTGTGTCTCCCTGTTTTACATCCTTTACACTTTCTATGTGGTGCGCCTCGTCCACACACCGCGTGGACCCACACACGGCAATGGGTGCATCACATCCATTCCGTTTCCCTTGCGTCTGGTTCCATCCGGGTCCATGTGTTCAGGGAGAACATTCGGGTGTTTTTCAAAACAGAGTGAGCAGAATAAAGTCTCCTCAGGATCCACTCTTCCGATAGATAAGGACCTCTTTTTCATCTGCTTTCGAATTCTCGCCCTCCGCAATCGTATTAATAAAATAAACAGAAAAAATTGAAAGCGGGTTGTGTATCGTAAGATATAAATTTCCGTTTTCTGCAGTTTGAGCCTTCCTCCTGTAGGCACATCTGGTTTAGAAAGGAGCGCTGCTCTCCTAATAGGCACGCCGATTTTATCGGCCAGAGTACGAATACGCTCAGCAATTGAGGAAAGAGTTTCGAAGGCGTTTTCATTCCCTTGCTTAACGAGAGCGTTCACCTTCGCGTAAATCACAGCATAACTCTGGAATAGTGCTGTTGGATTGATCGCTTGCTATTGCTGACTGATTATACCTTCTCAACTGCATCACGGGCTGAATGGAGTTCCCCACGTAAATCACGGTTAGGCGTCGCTTCTATATCCGAGCTCTGTACTTCAAGTATAGGTGATTCAGCTTGTAATTGAGGCCAGCAGCTGCTCTGGTTGCAAATTCTTGTCCTTAACAAGGATTCGAGAGGTGGGGATATGTGTTTTTACTTGTTTTCAATTTACAAGTCAAAATAGTGCCATAAAATCTGGCTGCATGGCTATGCGAGCATGCAGCTCCTGCAAAGGCTCTAGCTCTGCACGAGCATGTCACGGAATATGGGCATACATGACATGCAGCAGTGAATGTTGACCTTAACTTGTACATTATTCGTTTTCGTTCTGAATAGGAACGCGATTGCCGACTTATGCGGAATACAATACATTATTCATCGAACTCGACACGGTACACAATGTCAGAGGTCGTGGCATCCACGTACACGCGAGGTTCCCAACAGCATGCATTCTATCCACGTTTCCTTTGTAAAGCCGAACAGCAAGCCTATGCTGCACGTTGTTCACTTCCCCACGAAAGGAAGAACTAAGTTGTCTTCGGTCCCATAAGACAGAAGTTAACTCTCAGCTGCCAACGAAAGAACAATTTCTCACCGTAATCCCGAAGCCCACTGCCAAGTCATATACAGCCTTGATCAACACATCCATCACCTAGTTGATCCTAGCATTCGCCTTCCTTTTGAGTTTTCTTGTTTGATTCTCAGATGCCACCTCTCGCCAAACATCGACGTGCTCTTCACAACACCCTTGCGCTGAAAAGCGGCCCATTGTTTTATTTTCTCGGGCCCTTAAAAAGAAAGTCCGTTGGTATATTCGTTGGAAAAGACGGCTTCTACCAAGATATTCGCGTTGCAGGTACTGGATCAGACGCGAACAGCCTTTGTTGCATATGTGTGTCGGTATTTCAGTGAGCCTTGACTGAAATTCACCAATTCGAAGCAAACTTCTGAAGGCTGCGATCACTCCCTTCTGCAGCTCTATCTAAAATTCCGAAATGAGCGGAGTACGAGCTTATTTGAACGCTGAAGTTACCTTGACACACTCTTTCGTCTGACGCTTCCATGACTGGAGTATATGGAACCTACACAAAAAGTGGTCTAATTCAACATTTGGAAATGAGAGCGAGAAGCCATTGTAGAAAGCCAGGCCTCATCTGTTACCAATGACTTCGAGGTAAAACTGGGCACTAAGCGCTTGACTTCATCTGAAAGTACCTTCATCTCACTTGACGTCATCTCTTCCGACAACAGGAAAGTTGAATTTTCGATAATTGCTCAATGTGAGAATACTTAAACTCTTCTTACCTGCAGGTAGGCAGCGGTCTCGATCATAAACAACCATAGCTTCAGGGCGTGTTCTAGCCACTTTCACTGCAGCGGCATAATTATAACTGTAAAATGGTTTCCTCAAAGGTGGCCGTTATAGTTGTGTCAATCAAAGAGCTGACCGAGAAAAAAAGCTTTTTCCACTTGGTTCATCCGGCATCTCAAAGAAGCGAAGGCCATCGTCATTGGTTTGTTCGTGTTGCCTTTTTCTCAGCGAAGTGAGGTCATCTTTGCCGTGAATCCCAAGTATTAGACTATATTCCACTATAATATTCCAAAGGTCTTTCTTCGTTATAAAGTACAGCTTCAATTCTTCGGATTCATAGTCTTTTCTCATTTTTTTACAATATAATCAGCGGAGAGTTTCGAAAATAGGTGTATTTGACGGTTTTTCGACGCTACCCAATACCGCTCAACTTTTCGAAGTTAGAACTAAATCCTCAGCTTCTCTAGAAGTACGGTGGGATGGCCTGCTTCGATTGACGCCGTGCCCGCACAATGCGAAAACGTCCGGCGCATTAAAGACTTTTAGCTAGGCGTGCTATAGTACTTTGGCACGGATAACAGAATTGTACATAACTGGGAACTGTAAGCGGTTGCCGGAGCAATGGCATAGGTGACAGGGTGGTGGCTTAGGTAACCAAGCAAGTGGTGAAGCTCTAACTTTGAGATGTGGTACAGTAAAGCGCAAGCACCTTGCAGCATGAGTTTCAAATACTCTATTTACTCTTCTGCCCACCGTAATAACGCCGTGTCGGGTTTATGTCCGATGTGACCGAAACATCCTACTACGCGACGGTACCATACTCAACAAAGTGCATGTTCGCGAATGCGGAGCAGTGCGAGTGAACTTTTTTGCTTGTACGGATTCTGCGTTCGCTTTGAGAGCTACCTTCTCCACATCGATTGCATCAGCATAAATATGTTTTTGATAGTATATTTCATCAATTTGTGAAGGAGTTCAATTCATCACACCGCATTAATTTCCTGCCCTGCTCGCTAGATCTGCAGAAGAACGAAGTGCAGTGGAGGTCGCACATTCTGTCTATCCATTCCTGAAGGAAGATTCGCACTACTGCAAATCTATCTTTAATATAATTCCTGACCTTGTATTCTTCTGAATTATCGAATGATACTGTGCAGTGTACAGTCTTGGATCCTTCCCATAGCTCCTTCTTAAGAATGTACTATCCCACAGTGCTGACTGAGCTCCTCTTGCGTTTTAGAAGTCCATCACAGAGGCACCACTTAGGAGCTGGGATGTGAGCCACCTCTTCTCTTCGTTTCAACAACGTCAGCTGGGGTGTTTCCATTTGATGTGTAGTGACAATCCTCTCTTCGTCGAGAAAACCTTCCCACAACTTCAACAGACCTCCACATTCTTTCCCTGAGACTCTAATCCTGTCTTCTTCCTTTCCATTGACATTTCTTAAGCTGCCAAAGCAGTAACATCATATACCTCTTGCATGTGAGTGAGGTGTTGTGCTTCGTCATCTCCTTGTGGCAAATGGGGCAGACGGTACGTGTTGAGTTCTTTGTCTTCAAATATATATTGAAGATTGTCTCAGAAGACATCGTAAACTAGCATACTTGCTGAGCTATACCAGTATATAGTTGGTGCAAAGTTTTAAATGTCTGAACAAAGAAGAAGGGTGGCATCACGCTTCAAAACTGTACGCTGTCAGAAACTGGTGAAATCGTCACGTGAAACTGCTCGGCTGTGTTCCTTATACAAGTCGTCTATGGGTCCTATGTGGAAGAGTCTACTGTGGACGAAGTAATGTATGTACAATTGCAAAAGACTATTGAAAAAGCGGGCCACATTTCCACATTTCATGCCTCTTTTTACGAGAGCGTGAACCGAACGGGAATTGTGCAGAAACCGTTTGCTCAATTTGAATTTATGTTACAGTTTTGGTTTAATTCATTCATTCCAAAAAAGGGGCGCTGCTGCTGTCCGAGTAGACCAGCAGATCACAGCTGATTCACAACTTCATTTTTCTGTGACGGCAGCCTGGACCAGTCGACGTCATAGTGGGAAGTTAGACCTATCACACAGCGTTTGCGGTAGTGAAGTCTCATGTTCAGTGTGGATGGTTGTGTGTCCTCCAGTTTCGTGACGAAGATAACGAGAAAGGACAACTGAAAAAGATAGAAGCACTCTGAGGAAAAAGAAAGAAAATGCGCCTTTCAAATCTGTGGAGTTGACAAGTAATTAGGTTCCATGTTTCGGTAGCAGGCAATAAAGAATATTCCAAAATTACAACTTGTTTTGAAACACTAGTATTTGAACAGTTACAAAGAAGTAGTGATGTTGTTGTAATATGATAAAGAAGATTATGAACATATATGAACAGCCGATGAATCAAGGTGATGTGAAATTAATTCAGCAGTTCTTCCAATTCTTGTTTAGCCAGCGCAGAGGTGAAATGAGCTAGAATCGTTGAAGTTCCACCCTGTTCCAGTCCCTACACTGGCAACTTTTGGAGCGAAAAGCCAAGCGAAGTTTCAATGCGGAAGTAGAAATCACATGAAGAAATAGAGTTTGAGGTGGAAAAAAACAAACGAGTTCAGTGGAGTAGAAAACCAATCAAAATTATCATATTAGAAGAATTCACGGTGAAGAAATGGAAAAAGTCATAAGAGAGTTTAGTGGAGTTGAGCATCAAATCAAAATCACTAAAAGAACCGACGCGGTACAAAGAGAAATCAGAATAAATTGCAATAAATAAAAATCAATCAAGGTACTATCAGATTCAAAAAAAACCTTACGCTAGTAAACAGAGTCGCTGATATAGCGGCATTATAGGTATGAATTCCTCATGGAGTAATGACGAAACACATTACACGTTGATATGTATTATTGGCACATTATGAACGCGCGACTAGCACACACTTGATTAATGACTAGTTATGGGATGACTAGCAATAGTGCACTTTAGGATATATAATCATTAATAATACGACTAGCAAAAATGAGCATTAGAATATACAAAAACATTTGGCACAAGAATCCTTGGATGAGAAAAATGCGCTGTTATGATGCGATGGAAAGCGAATCAATAAGATATCGATGGTGTACACAGCCGGACAAGCAAAATTATTATACTATAGGTACGCAGTTAATTGACTGTGATATGTGGCCAATGGAATTTCGAATGCAAACATGGCCTAGTACTCTACAAGAGTGTAGCTTATTCCGGTATTTCAAAAATACACACGGATGTAAGTATTCTACCCTAGTTGTACTAGCGAAAGGAAGAGGGCTGACTCAATGACTTTTATAAAGAATAATACCTAACATATTGTACTAAGCTATTATATTAGTCTCACGTTTGATAGGTATAGATATGTAGAACGCGCGTTTGAATACGTACGCAGCCAAATGTATACTTTATAGGATACAGTTTGAAACAACAAAGGGCATGGTGTAGATAGCTAGTATTTATCTTATATGAAAATAGAGAGTTCAAGTATAACAAACCAACATTACCCTGGCTGCTCTTTTAGACAAATTTTTAGGCCCCTTTACCATGGATTAGACGTTCCAAGCGGGACACTAAGATCCCTTAATTAGATTATCTATCTCATTTAAAGGAGGAATTCACGATTAGAATGAAGGTCGAAGAAAGGGAAACTGACCTAGTTGAGGGACCCACGGACCTCCTGAGGGTGCGAACTGACGCGCAATTCGCATGGAAAAATTTGACCTCGGCGACCTATCATGCCTCAAAGCTGGCGGGTCCGGCGATCTCCGCCCACCGATCATCTGATCACTCGCCGTAGTTCAATACGTGGCGAGTGATTAGATAGCTGAGAGAGCGTAGTGTTGAAGAGGGCACAGCGATGAGAGTCGCATCAATGCTCGAATCAACGGGCAAGGAAGGGGTACCATTTCTCGGGTTCTGGGCCGTTTCTCATGGTTCTTCCTTCTTTCGTGTACCACTCACCATCCCTAGGTTAATTTGAAATGGGTTGCTTTTTCATCGTGAATTCGTCCTTTAAGTGATTTTTTGGCGGTTGTTCATTCATTATGGATCTTTTTATTTTATATTAAACTTGCACTAGTCTTTTCTAAGGTTTCCATACAGACCAATCTTTTCTCAGATACTGAGCTGTAGCTTGTGTTACCTATTGGTCACTCCTGTTTTTTATTTACTTATTTATTTATTTTTTTATTTTTGTTGTGTTTTTAACTCTTTCTTTTCTTTCTTCCATTTTCTTCTCCTTTTTTTTTTAGTTTCACTTTTCCTTTTTCCCCCCCCTTTATCTCTTCTTTTTCTTCTATTTTCCTTTCTATTCTTTTCATTTTATCTTCTCCTTTTCTCCTTTTTTCTTTTCTTAGCTGTTCTTTTCTATTCCGCTGTTCTTTTCTCTCTTACTCCTTTCTTTTCCTTCTTTTCTTATCTCTCCTACTCCTTCACTTTTCCTTCTGTCTTTTGCAGCTTACAACGCGTTCTCCAACGCATTTTACACTATTAATGGAGGGCAATACCTCTAATTAAAAAAAAACGCTAAAGGGGTTTATACAAGTCAAGAGTTGGCATTGAGGAGTCGATTCTTGGCGCCTCCAGCATTAGTAGCCCAATTATTTGGGGGACATTCAGGGCCGCCAGCCCCTGGACAGCAGTCCTGCCGAACCCTTTGTGGGAGACTCCTCTCTTGTGTTAGGGTTTGACCGCCCTTACACTTAGATCTCAGGTCAAAAAATAAAATCACTGATTACTACACTAATCTCACTTCACTAAGGTAAGAGGAGAGACCAATAACTGTTTCATTCTCAAAGACTTTGGTAACAGTAACACAAGCTATAAGTGTCACAGGCAATGTAGAGTATGCTGCATTACAGATACAAACAATTACGTAGTATCTAGTGTTACGGGGTTGCATATACGAACATATAAAGATGAGAATACAAGCTGTAGTACAAAAATGTTATCTATGTTTAACGTGTAATAACTGTGGTATGCAATATGTAGGCATGACTATAAGGAAACTTAAAATAGAATTGGAGAACACATTACTAATATCGCTAATCATAAAAAGCACACCCCCTATATAATCATTTTTATAAATAGTATGTTGGTAGTTTCTTTCTAGTTTTGGATTCTAGCGAATCTAATGATAAAGCAATTTTGGCTGAGAAAGAGCTTTTTTGAATTAAAGCTAGTGACCCCCTATCCATTGTATCACCTGTCGTCCCGTTGATCGTCGATTTGCTCGAGCGGGCGCCAGCAACGTCTCCATTCGTCCCTGTCGCGTGCTAGAGTTGTCCAGTGGATCCTCCTCGCTCGAGGGACACGAAGCCCTTCATTCCTTTCGTTCAGAGCTTTCGTG